AAGAGTGAAACAGAAGTAAGAGAGCACATGGTGCAGCTGGCAAACTTCCTCGACAGTGTAAGTTAGAGCCCTGCAATTCTGTTGACTTCTGTAAACTCACACCTTGGAATCTGTCCTGTTACCACTTGGGTGAGAATGAAGTGAAGGTTTTTATCAACCAGGAGCTGAGCCTGGTCCCTCAGCTGTGATGCTGAAGACTGATAGAACTCAGTCATGCCTGAGTGCAGTGCTGGGGGATTGAGTTTTGGGGAATGCATTGCTGGGACAACTTCTCCACCTCTAAATCCCTCTGCAGTCATCATACTTGAGAATTAATTTAGGAAAATTCTTCCAACCTATGAGTGCTACAGTGTGTGACAGGACAGATTGTTGCAATTCTTGTGTATGTGTAAAGGTTAGACAAAAAACATTTCTCTCAACTCGACTATTTCAGATGATGCTGTTTTTCAGGACTGACACTCTTTATTTTAAAATTTCTCCTTTGGACTTTCTTACAGTATGGCCAGTGTGGCATTTAAGCATTGATCCTTAGCTAATGAAAGTCTAAATCACAGGGAAACTGCATTCTGGTGACTTGAACTGTGTACTAGTTTTTAAAAAAAGCCAACAAACCCAAACAGAAAGAACAGATTCTGGCAGTGAGCTACATAACACCAGACCACTTGTTCTTATCTGAAGGTCTTCAGAGATATTTCTTCTTCTTTTTTCCTCCCTAGATGTACATCATGTTGAACATTCGCATTGTGCTGGTTGGTCTAGAGATCTGGAAGTATGAAAACATAATCAGCACAGATGGAGGTGCTGGGGATGTGCTGGCAAATTTTGTACAGTGGCGGGAGAAGAACCTTGTGTTGCGCCGGAGACACGACAGTGCCCAGTTTGTTCTGTGAGTTGTGGTTTCTTCCTGTGGACTCCTAAGAAGCTTATTCTATTCCTGTCTGCTCAGCTCTACTGTGGCATCAAAGGTAGCTGCTGCGTTTCAGCCCACAATCCAGGGCAATCTGTTCTGGTTTATGTACTTGAGAAAACATTCCAAGTTGACCTAAGCACTTCTAGGATGATTTCTCTGGTCCTTCAATTCAGGTGTATTGCTAAATAACACTATTATTTTCTTGTCCTGCATGTCCTGCAATGTTACATGTTGTCTTGTATAAAGTTTCTGTTCAGATAATCCTTTGTCAAGTCATATGCTGGTTAGATGTGTAATCTAGGGCTTTTTCCACTTGAAAATGAGCTTAAACCTAGAGCAGAGAGTTGGATTTTAGTGGAGAAAAAGTTGTTTGTGCAGTTGGTGTCCAGCAGCTAGCTGTGGGGTTGACATGTGACACTAATCTGCCTGTCCCTGCTGGCACAGAGATCCCTGAGCTGCCTCTGCCCTCCTCCGGGTGCAATTCTTGCTCCCAGAGGCAGTGCAGCCCTGGGGGAGCCTCTGCCTGAAGCTGGGAAGAGGCAGAGCTGAGGGCACAGCCCAGCCACCCTTGTCCAAAGCAGAATCCCCCTTCCCAGGGGGACTGGGACCCCTTTTGCTCCAAGAACAGCACCATGCAGGTGATGAGGGTGAAATGGCTGAAAAATATTGTACACGAAGTAGAATGTGGTGCATTGGGCTGTTGCACTTAAGCTTTAAGAACAGTGTAGAAGCAAAGTAAGAGTGATGAGAAGGAAGTTGACAAGGCAAGGAATCTGTGGAGTTTGGCAGCAGCAGAAAGGCCGCAAACAGGCAACTGAAACAAGGGATTTTAAGGGTGCAGCTTTTAGCTCCTCATACTTAGAGGGAAGATGTGGAAGAGGCTGACTTTCTCTGCAAAATCTTGCCTTAATTTAAAAGAATAATAGAACCATGGACAGAAGGTAAAGCTGACCCGGTACATCCACGCCCACACTCAGCAGCAGCACTCCCAGCACTGCTCCTTCCATGGCACTGAAAAGCTGGAAGAGCAGGATTTTGGGCCTCACACACAGAGGTGCTGCACAGAGGGGCTGTGCCGTTGTGCAGTGGGGTGATTGCCTCTCCTTTTTCTCCCCATGCTTGCAGAAAGAAAGGCTTTGGTGGCACAGCTGGCATGGCCTATGTGGGAACAGTGTGTTCCAAGAGCCACGCGGGAGGCATCAACGTGGTAAGAATCTAGTGATACTGGGAATTGGAGCAAGGTGAGAGTTTTGCACTCCAGAAGTCTTCCTGGAAGTGCAGAATCTTTAATAACAAAGCTGAAGTGGCTTAGTGGGGGCTTTTATGTGGTCCCCAACAATTCTTGTCTATTCCATGGTATCTGGTTCACAACTTTTCTGTAGTCTTCTGCATCCTCTGCTCAGCTTTCCCTCCCCTCAGTGTGCAGTGCTCATGAAGATGGGATGGGATTTCTCTGCTGACATTGTAGACATCCCTGTCTTAGAAGTATGTGGGAACTGGGGGTGTTTTCCAGTCCCTCCTCTGGTGTTTGCTTGCCCTGCAGGACCATGGACTCCTCCAGCAGTGCCAGTTCACTGCCCTCTTGTGTGAAGCTGCAGGGTGTTAATGAACCAAGTGGCTGACCTCAGATAACTGACAATCCCAGCAATCTTGTGTTCTTGGACTAGTGAGAGAAGGACTGGAACTGGAGTTTGCATGTTTCAGGAGATTTGGACTGGTGTGGAGAACCCTGTTTTTTGTGCTAATTGGGTTGGGAAGCAGGCACAGTGGGTCTGAGAATCCTGTTAATGCAGAGACAGGATGACAGAAATGTCTTCTTGCCATGTAAGTAAACACTGACTTTCTCAATATCAGCTGATTTCTTCTGTTTTGTTCCTGTGCAGTTTGGAAGAATCAGCATTCAGATGTTTGCCTCAATTATGGCTCATGAGCTGGGACACAACCTGGGGATGAACCATGATGATGAACGTGTCTGTCACTGTGGAGCAGCCAGCTGCATCATGAGCTCTGGAGCATCGTAAGTCACTGACCAAAAGGGAAGCCTTTTCTGAGGGTCAAAACTCCCACCCCTGCACTTGGTTTTTACAAGTTGTTTCACCTTCAGAGAACCCACACAAAAAGTCGTGTCGTGCCTGCAGCTCCTGGGGAAAGCAAATGTGACCCTTGTTCTACAGAGGGAAGGAATGGTGGTGGGTTGGCTTGGTGTAAAGATACACTCGTGTTCTTTGTTGCAGGGGATCAAGGAACTTCAGCAGTTGCAGTGCAGAGGACTTTGAGAAGCTAACTCTTAACAAAGGTGGGAGCTGCCTGCTCAACGTTCCCAAGCCTGACGAAACCTACAGTGTCCCCTACTGCGGGAACAAGCTGGTGGATGCTGGGGAGGAGTGTGACTGTGGCTCACCAAAGGTTGGTAGCTGGTGTGTTTTCCAGGTGCTGCTGGGGCAGCCTTGTGTGCCCCTCACTGGAGGGGGCTGGGGTGGGGAGGTTGCTGTTTCTGGACATTGACAGCACTTGTGCTTCCAGGAATGTGAAAGTGATCCTTGCTGTGAGCCGGGTACTTGCAGGCTCCGGTCCAGTGCCGAGTGTGCTTATGGTGACTGCTGTAAAAACTGCCAGGTAAGAGGCTTAAACCTGTAATGTGGAAGTGGTGGTGGTGGCTGAGCAGAACGTTGGTGTAGCCAGTGCAGCTGTGAGAGGGAGCTGTCCGGCCTGTACAGAGCACCCACCCAGGGCTCTAGGTCATCACCCTTTTTGGGGGCAGACTGTGGGCTGGGCACAGTGTACCTTTCTGCTTGAGGTTCCTATTTCCTGACACTGTTTCCTCCTCCCCTCTCTCTTCAGCTCCTTCCTAAAGGAACCGAGTGTCGGGCAAGCACCAACGAGTGTGACCTCCCCGAGTACTGCAACGGCACCTCCCAGTTCTGCCAGCCAGACTTCACCGTGCAGAACGGCCACCCCTGCCACCACCAGGAGGCCTACTGCTACAACGGGGTCTGCCAGCACTACGACGCCCAGTGCCAGGATATCTTTGGCTCAAGTAAGGAGGAGCACAGAGGGACAGTTTTTCTCGGAGACGTAGCTAATGGGATACACTAAGTTTAAATAAAATGTATTTACTTGTTTTCCTGTAACAAAGAACAGCTGGCTTTGGCAAAGGCTTTGAAATAGTGGTATTTATGGCTCAGCCTTCACACGTTCTTCCTTTGTTACTCATAATGCTGTGCTGGAGGTTCAAGTAATAACCATCTCTATTACAATGGGGCAACTGATGCAGAGGGCTCTCAAGAAGCTGTAAAGAAATATCAAATGGCATAACTGACTCTGATAACTGAATACTTCTCTTTTTTTTGAACTTGGAAGCTTGTAGTGCTGACATTTTTACCTCTTCACTGTTTTGATCAAGTTCTTAATCTCTGTGCTGCATGGAAAGTGGTTGGTGCATCAGGATATTTGTAAAGGAGCCGTGAGGATGTGAGATGTTCCTGTCCCTGTTTAACTTGGTTCCTGTCTTGGGGGGTGGGCTCTTGTTTGCAGAAGCCAAAGCAGCCCCCAACATTTGTTTTACTGAAGTGAATTCCAAGGGTGACAGATTTGGCAACTGTGGTTTCCATGGCCATGACTACAAGAAATGTTCCAGCTGGTGAGTTGAGCCCAGTGTATCGAGGAGTTCCTGAGTGTCTCACTGAAGATCTTTACTCGGGTGCTGCAGTATTATCCTGGGGGGGCTGAGCAGGTGCACTGGGGACAGACACGTTATCCCATCCCCTGGCCTCGCTGACGAGCGCGACGTTCCAAAACCACAGCCGAGTGGCTTAGAAAAAACATGTTCTGCCCTCCTTTCTGAAGCTGTTATTAGCACACAGCTCTAAGTTTTGTGGGTTTTTGTTTTAGTTTCTGTGGCTTTAACTCTTGCACGGAACAGTTGAGATGTGTCAGTGCTCAGGCAGTTCTCCCAGAGCTGGGGGGGAGCTTGGGGCTTGTGCTGCCGTGTCCCGTGTGCTTGGTGATCCATGGCCTTGGGATCCGTGTCACACCTTCAGGGCTGGGGCCATGGCAAGAAGAGTGTGCTCCACATCTCCCATCGTGGGTTGTTCTTGTCCTAAAGTGTCCACACACAGGAAAACGAATGCCAAATCATCATGTTTTCTTTAATGTAAAGATCCCAGCAGCTTATAGGGAGACGGGATAAATCCGTACTCGTGCAGCACTGACCCGAGGCCCAGCTGGGTGCTGTTTGGCAGGCTGCCTCAATTTTATTTTCAAGTTGTGTCTTCCAGTAGAAAGGAAAGATGATAACAAATGTGTGATAGTCTCTTTCTCAGAATAAATGCAAGTGTCACTACAATATCCGTATGTTGATGCTGCAGGAATGCCATGTGTGGGAAGCTGCAATGTGAAAATGTGAAAACTATGCCTGTGTTTGGAATCAAGCCTGCTATTATCCAGACTCCCATTGGAAACACCACGTGCTGGGGTGTGGATTTCCAGCTAGGCTCTGACGTCCCAGACCCTGGAATGGTGAATGAAGGCACCAAATGTGGTAATGGAAAGGTAATTAACAATTAACAAAGTGATTTCTTAAAGTAATAATTTGGGGGCTTCATGTGAGTAAAATTTTCAGCTGCCCTGTTTCATGAACATTTGTGGCCATTAATTTTTTAGTTGTAGTTAGTGCAAAACTGAGTGAGTCCATTGGTTTCCAGCACTGCCCAGTACTGCAGAGCACATTGACAAGAAGTGTCATGAGCTTCTCATTAAAAGTGAAGCAAAAGAAATTAAGTTTGTTGAGAGACAGAACCTCTGCCCTGTCAAGGAGCAGGAAGAGCTTGGTGCACACTAGTGCCTCGTTAAGACAACTTACAGTTAGATTCCAACCAAAGTGAAAAGCCTGGAAGCTTAATCCCCAGCAGAGGAATGTGCATTGCACATGTCCTCCCTGTGCAGGATTTAGTTGTTATTCCTTTACATTCAGAGTGGAGACAAAAGGGTCCCAGTGGCAGCTCCGGCCTCACACTGAGGAGCCTTGTGTAGCGCTGGGGTTTCTCACGCCAGAGCTGACTCTGGCTTTGTGGTCAGTGAGCCCAGAGGGGCTGTGAGCCCCGTGCTGGGGCAGGCAGCTGGGGCAGGACGGGGTGGCACTGAAATGCCATCTGTCCTCATCCCTGTGCTCTCTCTGTCTCCAGATCTGCCGGCACTTCCAATGCGTGAGCGCCTCTGTCCTCAACTATGACTGCGATGTGGAGCAGCAGTGCCACGGGCACGGGGTGAGGGGCAGGAGCCTCCACCACACCTGGACCTTTGGTTCAACTGGCAGTGGCTCTGCCACAGGTCCTCTGACATCTCTGTCACCAGAACACTCAGTTTTTAGAGCCAATTACTGTGCAAATATGTAAACAGACTTTTAAAATCCTAAGTCCCAGTTTGAGCCTGGTGTTGTACTTAATCAAGAGTGTCCACATACAGCCTGGTTTGCACCTAGGAAGGCTTTTGCCCTTCCCTGTTCAAGGCTGTAATTAACGTGAACTAAAGTAATCATGATGCTAGATGCAGTGAGTAAAAAAAATCCTGTAGGGCTCTTGAGGATGGGTTTCCCTATAAAAAGTTGCTTTTTGATGCCGTTAATGAGAAAAGTGCCCTTAGCAGCAAAAATTGGACTGAAGTTATGCAGCTTGAGCAAGTTTTAAAATGGAGGATAGTAACTTAATTTTTTCTCTCCATAAAACTCTCCATAAAATGTCTCAGGACAAGAGAGCCTATAAAAGCATATAAAAAAAATTCTTTTGACAAAAGCTCTCAAAATTACGCTTCTTTGCCAGGCAAGAATTCCCACTTCCAGTGTTACTAATGTCATTTGAAACTGCATCTCACAAAAAAATAATAAATAAAAGCAACAGCAGCAGCCATGCTCTTTGAGGCTTTGGGACAGCCAGTGTTTGGAAGCTCATCCTGAACAAGGCTGTGCTTGCTCAGTCATGTGAGATCTTGAGACAGCCAGCCAAGACTACGTGGCATTGAGGGGGCAGTTGTTGGTTGAAGTTCTCCAGGCTGAGTGACAGGGAAGGGACAGGAGGGGTGGTCATGGCTGCTGCCTTGAAGCATCATTTCTGATCAGACCTTGTGTGGTGCTGTTCAAACCCAGGTGTGCAACAACAACAGGAACTGTCACTGTGAGGATGGCTGGGCCCCCCCGCACTGTGACACCAGGGGCTATGGTGGCAGCGTGGACAGTGGCCCTCCCTACAAAGGCAAGTGACTGTGGGGGCTCCAGGGCTGGGGTCTGGCTCGTTGGGGGGTGCAGGGGGCCTGGGGCTCTGGAGCAGCTGGTCCCTGGGGGCTGAAGAGCTGGTGGGTGGCTCTGCACCTACTTTCATTTGCAGACAGCTCTGGTTGAGGTTTTGGGCTCAAGATGCTGCACTTCTCTCTTTTGGGTTGGTTTTGGGGCTGGTTTAAGTGCCTTTAGGTGATTTCTGCCACCTTGGACCAAGATCCTCTTGGACTTCTCTGTATCCAAGGTGGGAACTGAAGCTTGTTCCATTCCTAGATCCAAACAAAACATGAATTTTGGCTGAGGCTGTGGGTTAAAATCCATGGGTATGAATCTGCCCTGCTCTGGTATCTGCAGGTAGCTGCATGTTTTCTCACTGAAGATGAAATAGGAAGCTAAATCCAAGCTGTATTTAGAAAAGACTTGTGTGATACCCTTGTGGAGTATATGAAGATGGGATTGATGTAGTCTCTTCTATGAGCTGCAAGAATGATCTCAAAGACCATTTTTCATAAGATGGGGGGGGGGTTGGGGAAAAGTAGACACTGCCTATGCAGTAACAGGCTGGAGAGTCACATTGGAGCATGGACAGATGCCTCAAATCATCAGACAAAAAAAGGGAAAGCTTGGCTTTTTTACAGGCTGCAGTGGAGAAGCTGCACATAAAAATGTAGATTGTTAACCTGAGTTATTTGCCTGCAGCAAACAATGGTAGGACAAGAGGAAGATTTAGGATCAGACCAAAGGGCAGAAGCTGTTTTCCTCTCTTTCAGCTGAGCTCATAAGATCTTCACAGTAATGCAGTGGAAGAAAAATTAGTTATTGACCTAGTAATTCAATATCTGTTATAGCCCAGAGTATCATGGCATGTAGAAGCCTTTCATCTTTGACCAGACAATCCCTGTGAAAAGATAATCAGAAAATAATGTATTTGGGCATACATCTTGCAGTCTTACTAGATTCTTTAGTTTGTTCTTCTATTTAAAATAGGCAGTAGTTGTGGAACCAGTCCTACCAAATGTTTGCTACTACAGCGAGGCAAGTGGTGGTAAGGCCATGTCATAACTCTTTTCTTCTCTGCCCCCGAAGACAACTCACTGAGGAATGGGCTGCTGGTGTTTTTCTTCCTGATCCTCTCACTCCTCATAGCTGCTGGTCTGGCATTTGCAAAAAGAGACAGGCTGAGGAGATGCTTTAGGAGATTAGTGTCACGTTGCCATTCGTAAGTACCTTCTCCTTCCACCTTCTCCTCTGCCACTTTTTAAGTGGTTCAGGGACGTTTGTTTGCACAAGCCAGTGCCAAAGTGCAGAGGCATTTTCCAGTGCCACGATGTGAGGCAAAGGCCCCTGCATCAATGACACATGTAGCTTGTCCCACGCAATGACAGAAATGATAAATTCATCTTAAATTGAGGGAGCAGAGAACTTTGTTTCTACCATTATGTTTGTCGTTGTCCATTGTTGATGGGTTTCGTATTTTTGGGTCCCATCTTTGGTACAAAGTGGCAAAATGAAGCTGTCACAGTTGAAACAGAAAAATGGTTTTGTTGTTTTTTGGATATGTGACAACTACTGTCTTCCTGATGTTTTAATTGTGCTGAGATGGCATAAATCCATCTAACAGGGTTGGGATGCTGGGGTTCATAGCCTGCCCAGCCATCCTGTCAAGGATCTGTGCTCACACAGCCCCTGTCACTTGCCTCCCAGGTCTCTTCGGTCGCCACCTCCTCGATCAGAACCTGAGCAGAGGGACTATCAGCACAGAGGCTTTTCCCATGGCATGCCTTATCCTCCAAGAGCTGTTCCCATGGTAGGAATGAGCTACTTTTCATTACTTGCTATCTCTTATTCTGAAGTAACAGACGAAGGCCAGTTTTAAAGCTTCAATGTTACATTATTTTTTCATTTCTCTTTGCTGAGAGGCAAAAAATAATACATTTCTAAGGTGTGTGGGGGCAACTCCTCACTTTCCCACTGTGTAAGGTTTTTTTACAAGCTGTGCTTGGCTTGGCAAGCAATTTGCTTGCTTTGCTCCCCCCTTTCCCTTAGGCTGGACCCCCCTGCCCCACGCAAGGAGGGCAGCAATTCTTGCCAGCTCCCCAGCCCCACTCCTTGACAGCCCAGTCTGAGTGCAGGAACTAGCCAAGGCACACTTGCTGAACACATCAGACACTGATTAGCTTTGCTGTGTTTTCCAAAAGACAGGCCCTTTCAGACTGCTGCTACCTCTTTCTACTGAGTTTCTCAGAAGGAAAGAGCAGCTCTGACCTTTCCAAGTTTGTTTGCAAGTGGTCTTAAATGTCACTTAACTAATGAAGCAAGTATTTTAATTCCCCACGTGCAAATTTGTGAAGCTTCTTGTTATGTTTGCTTTGCAGGACATGGAGCCCCATACCTACCCCGTTCCATCTTACCCAGTTAATCAGCATCCCCAGCAGACTTACCACCAGCCCTACTACCCATCACCACAGTACCAGGCACAGCAGCCACAGAAGCTGCCGACAAGGTGGGTTTAGTTATTGCAAACACCTCTTGGCAGTTGTGCTGGTGTGTCTGGGTTGTCATTGCCCTCAGCTCTGAGAGCAGTGAGGTGTTTCATCACGTGCTGTGTGCAAGCAGGGCTGACCTGTGGTGGAGAGAAGTTTCTCCTTCGTTTCACCCCATGGAACTGAAGTGCTATTACCCATCACATTCATTTCACATGCTGCCAGGGCTGGGTGTTGATTAACAGGCTTCAGAAAGGGGCCTGATTACCCCTGTGTACAGGTGAATAAAAGGCCTCTCAAAATAAGTAGTTTAAACAGAAGTTACTCAAAACTCTTGTCGTTTTGGTGACTTGTGAACGTTATTGCCAAGTGCAGGATCATTTCTCATTAACTTTGAATAGAAACTTTTCCTTTGTTTTTTATTTTACTTTTTAATTGTATTTCTGTGCCATCAAACAGGCGTGTCCAGAAAGCACCAGGTGCCAAGAGGGAACACTTGGAAGTAGCTTGTGTTGGTGGGAAACTCAGGGGGGTCTTTACACCATTTGGGGAAAAACAGTGTGTTAAAGAGGGGTTCCCAGAGGATTTCAGGCAGTGGAAGGCAGGGTCTAAGCATGGCCTGTTTGACACAAGGCCTCAGCTGGAGGACGAGGTGGTGAGGGGCAGTGTGGCTGCCTGGGGGTCCCGCTGTGGCCACGGGGCTGGTGCCAGGGGGAGGGATGTGTGTTGGACATGGTCACCTGAGCTGACAACAGCTTCTCTGTCCCCTCACAGGCCACCACCTCCGCTGCAGAAGTGTGTGCCTCAGAGACCTCCTTCAGCACAGCAAAAAAGTTTACCTCAGGGACAGTATTTTCCTTCTCGACCGGCACCTTTGCCTCCCAAATAGCTTTTGGCTTCTTTGGGGCCTTCCCGTGGGCTGACCTGTCCACTGAGGCAGAGCTGAGGCTGCAGTTGTCCTCCTTGCATTGAGCAGCCTGTGGTAATCCCAGGAATCCTTCCTTCTGCAGCCTGGGATAAGGCAAATGAGATAGTGAAACGAGGAATGTAAAACTTTAAACTAAATACCTCTACCAGAGCTACAGGAGCTGGAAACATCTGTTCTTAGAGCTGTCTGAGGATTGTGGCTTTGTGACCTGCAGCCTGGCGTGGAGCAGCCTGCAGTGACATCCTCTTGAGAGCACAACTTGGGAGTTGCTTTTGGTTTCCCCATTCCTGCCATGAGCCCTGACAAGGAAATTGTCTGATTTGTTGCCGTCTTCCTAAGCGTACAGTAAGATCTGAAGTGACCCAAACTGCTTCCAAAACAAGGAAATCTGGCCAAATAACTTCAAATTATTCTGCATGGACTGGAAAGAGTTTACCATTTCCAAATTAATGGCACAAGTGGAATAAGGTATCAGTGTACTTTTTCGGAGGAAGATAAATACATTGTAAACATGTTTATGCATGTATATATGTTTATTGATGTGTAATAATGCACTTGAATTCTTACTTCCATGCTGACTGACACTAAGCTGTGCTACATGAGCACTGATTTTAATGGTTTTAAATTAGTAATTGTGAGTTGCTAAATGAGAATCCTGTACTAATTTCCACTAATAATATCATGACTAGGCAATGAAACTAAAGGTACGAAGACGTGGCCATATTTTGGTTTTTAAAAAATGGGTTGCTCTTGGGTTTTAATTTGGGCCTAAGGGCTGAGCAGCAGTCCCTGCAGGACACTGAGGAGCAAGAAGTGTCTCTGGTGAGACCAGCTGAGCTTCGCTGAGCACTTTAAACAGGAACCTGGTGACTAATGTGACCCTTGTGCCTGATCCCCGAGCCTTTTTAGTGTCAGTCAGGATGGGCCTGGGCCCTTTCCTGCACCACTGACTAAACTAGACCTTACACCTCTTTCTGAAAAGGAGTGTTTAGCACTTGGTGTGCTGGTCAGGGAGGTCTGTCACCGTGGCACTGCTGGGCCCTGGGTGGAAACAGGACCCTAGTGGTCACAGAAAGAAATCTGTTACACAGACTTGCTAAAAGTGAAGTAAGTACTGAATAGTAAGTGCTTGGCTTTTTTACTTTGTGCTCACCACTGAGTACAAACTCGATCTGTAAAATCCCCCATCATATTGCAAAACCCCCCAACCTTTTCCTCTGTAAATACATATATAAATATATATATATAGTGTTTGCATTTGCAGTAATAAATACTTGAACTCCTGTGGTTTCCCATAAACTTAGACTAAGCTGTATAACATTATTAAAATATGTAAAATGTCCTAGAATATCACTAGATATATTTGTAGGGGTCTTATCTTTATTCTAAGATTACAGCTTCCTCATTTTTGTTGTGTTCTGCTCAGCTGGGGCTGGCTGCCTGTCTGTCTGTCTGTCTGTCTGCAGCTGGGCCAGGCAGATGTGCTGGGAGCTGCTCCCCACGGCTGGAGCCGGGCTGGAAACATCCTGGAGTGGGATGTACTGAGCTGTATGTGTGAACTCAAACTGTGCTGAAAATGGTGCCTTTTACTCGATGCCGCGTTCTGGTCCCTGCAGCGCCCGGGGCTGCGGGGGTGGGGACATCACTGGTGCTGTGGGGATGTCACTGTTGCTGTGGGACTGTCACTGGTGGTGTGGGAACGCCAGTGGTGGTGTGGGGATGTCACTGGTTGTGTGGGGACATCACTGGTGCTGTGGCTCCTTCTGGAGTGAATGTTTCTTGCGTGGTTGTTGGTGTGTGGGGGGCGAGTGACCTCTCTGAGCCCCATTTCTGTTCCTGATGCACCCCTTTGTTCAACTAGAGGTTGCTCTCCTGCTCCCATCATAGTGTGTTCATATTCCTGGGCCCTGATGCATCCCAGTGCACAAAATGTAAGCGCAGGGACCTAGGTACTTGAAAATGAAGTGTGGGTGAATGATAGCAGGGTAGAAAGTAGAGTTGGTGGGACATTCCAGGTAGAGGCATCATCTGTCCACGTGGTTATAAAGGTGTCTGTCCCAGGCATCTGCAATTCTGACTGTGGCTGAGGGGCACAACCGTGGTGATACTAACCTGTGACTGTAACCAAAACAAATTCTGATTTTAGGTTCCCAGATGGTACTGCAGGTCACAGTTCCCCAGAAGTTGCTCTCAAAAGGAGCTGGAGAGACGGTAACTTAAGTGATCAAATTACATCGTGTCTGTGTGTGTGTGTGTGTTCATACGTGCATGGGAACATGATGTCCAACTGCCAAGCTGTGGCTGGGAGAACTAGAACTGTCCCTCACAGTTCTAGGAAGCAAAGTTCTGCCCATGCAGATGCTGGGGGTGCCGTGCTCTGCTGAGCTCTGCTCCTGGCCCTCGGTGTTTGCAGTTGCCCTCAGAGGACGCTTTTCCAAAGTCTGTTCCTGATTCTCCCTTTCTCACACACAAGGACACGGTGTCCTACGGCCTCAGGATCGAGGGGAAGCCGTACACCATCCACCTGCAGCAGCAGTAAGTTGGCCCCGCTGTTGCCTCCTCTGACCACTGCCCTGTTCCCAGCACGGCCCTTGGTGCTGCCCCTGCTTCCCGCGGGCTCTTTCCAGCCTCTGCAGCTGCTGGGATCGTGTCCTGCTGCAGGCACATCCCACAGCCCACACTGATGTGTATGTGCCCGAGTGCTGCGGGGTGGCAGAGGCTGGAGGGGGGTTTGAGGGAGGCTCATGCCCATGAGCCCTGGTGACAGCAGGTTCTGGATCCACCAGAAGCTCTGGCATCACCACTGGGGCAGCACAGGCTGCAGGAATAAGCTCGAGAACCTGGGTGAGAGAGATGATTGTAAGTGCTTCACTTTACATCTTTCTTTTGCAGTGTCTTTTTATCTGATGATTTCAGGATTTACGTGGCTAATGAAAAGGAACCTTTGCGCTCCAATTCAGCCCGTGTGAAGGTAACCCTGGATGGTTTGGGCTTTGTGCCGTGAGAGCTGCAGGTAGAGCT